CTGTGTACGTGGAGCGATCTCTGTCTCTCTCTCCTGTGTGTAGATGTTACATTACATCACATTACAGTCATTTAGCAGACGCTTTTATCCAAAGCGACTTACAATAAGTGTATTCAACATCGGTTTTCGAGAGAACTACTGGTCACCAGAAGTCATAAGTGCATCTCCTTCAAACAAGCATCTAAGAGCATAAACCAGAGCCAACATACAGTGCAGAAACAAACGAATGCAATAAGTGCCACAAAGTAATATGAATACAATAAGTGCAAAAAGCTAGTATGAATACAATAGATGCTAAGTAAGTGCTAAGTGGAAGGCTTCAGGGTAGTACTTGTTGAAGAGGTGAGTCTTCAGCCTGATGAAAGATGGGCAGCGGCTCTGCTGTCCTGACGCAGGGTCGGAAATTTACATATTTTTTTGGGGGTAATTTTTGCCCCCACTGACTGAAATCCAGGGCATTTCCAAAAAATTGGGGGCACTTTTTGAAACTTGTGAAATAACATTTAACCTTTGTTCAAAATAATAAATATACTTATTTAGGCTTACAGTATATGAGCAATTGTCATCAAATGGCAATAATAAGACTATGTTAGATCCGGGGGTTCTCTGGCCCGATACGGGGCTACCTACTGACTCAGCTCTCGATTAAAAGATTGTCAAGCTGGTGTTCTGTCGAGGAAACTCGCCTGGCTTCTGCTAACTACCGTTACTCCTGACGTCTACCCTGCTTCCACTGGTAACATGCACTCGGCCGAGGGGCCACCCTGGCCGGGCGCTTCTACCTAGTCGCGTCAGTTATGGCAGCTTTCCTCTTTTGGATCCGGGCTCTTGGTAAATTGCCAGGTTAGGTTTTAACGGCTAGGATTATAACTAAAACCGTAAGGGACTGTTAAGTGGACCGGTCACTAGGATAACCATTAAGAACTCTTGTTGTTAACATACAATAGCTTTAACCTTTTACTACCATGAGGAACTTCTACTCCCTCAGCAAATGAATGCTCTTGAGAACTTTACTTTAAATGCAGATTAGATATTTGTTGCAGGATATATTAGCAGGGGCACAGCTACAGCTCACATAAGATAATACGATACTTGATTCAATCAGGTTACAATTTCTTCTCAGGTTATACTCATTAATTGTCGATGCCGAGGCGGCTCGGTGGAGCTGGATTCACGATGTAAGAAAAAGTCCTTTTGGGGTTTTCAGGAGCTGAAGGTCCGGCCGAACCTTCAGCTCCTCCTGCGAGGCCAACGAAGTCCATTCAGCGCTCTCTCAGACTCAGTACAAAGTCTTTAGGGCGGCTGCGTCCATCTGTTGTCCGGTTGTTAATGTCAAACAGGGGGGACAGGAAAATCTCCGTCTTTCAATCTTTGTCCTGGAACGGCTGTCTTCTTTCCGTGAACAGAGACGAAGTCCTCCGATGCGGTTGTTGAGCGAGGTCCAGTGTTTTCTCCGTGGAGCACTTGGGTGGCTCCCGCGTTGAATCCTGTCTTGCTATCTGCAAGTCTTTCTTTTTATAATCTTGGAGCTCTCTCTTCTCCCTCCTCCCCAACACTCCCTCCCTCGGCATGTGATTTACATGACATCATTGATTATGTGTGTGTGCTGCGAACAACCTAACTTTCTGTGTGTGGATACTCTCACTTCCTTCATTTTCGAGCGTGTGTCAGGTTACACCCGTGGACATGTTCGGACATCACCCCAACATCTGTTATGATCTCATCCTTTAAGGTCCCCACCCTTTCTTAGTTACACATACATTGTTATTAGCAGTTTACATTTGTTAAATCACTTCATTATTCTTTTGTTAGATAGACTTGCTTTAACATATTAGATTGCATCCTTGCTTATTATATGCTTTGTGTCCCTTTATCCTGCTTCCATATCGAACTGTATTCCTTCATTTAAGGCAGCTTTCCTGGGATCTCAACCCTCTTTTTTGACAACTATTAGGCAGTAGTCTACAGATTCAAATTGTTTTCTTAGATTTTTTTTGAACAAAAAACAAACATAAATCAGACAATCATATTCAGTTTTATTCTTATTTCTTTGTGGTTATTTATTGTTGTTACATTTTTTAAACAACTATTAACAATTATTAAGTCAACGATGCCTTGTTTACATATACATCAGTCATTGTGTGGAATTATTGAGAGAAATATTTTTGCAGCACCTCAAATGTTAAAAAATGTGCCATTTGAAGGTACAAATTCAGTTCAGAGTTTTTGCTTAGTAAAATATCTTAATTGACTGTCAGTCATGTATTATTCATTTCCAACCCTCAAATCAAAGAATAAAGACACTTTACGCACTATTTAGGTGTATTTTCCCTTTAACTCACGAGATGCAGGTGGCATGTTTTATACTTAATGTGAATATAATTATTTTAATCTAATTTCCATTATGCAATATGTATACTTTGTTGGCATCTTATTCTGAAAACCAGATGTTTGTCTGGAGAAACCGGATGTTGTCTCACATTAATCTTTTCCGCTAACTCCCGATCTGTGCCGTTTGAATGCGTTTACCGTGAATTTCAGCATATAGGTGCACTAACATGTAAGTGTCTGCTGAGATGACCACAGTCTCGCAGTCACAGGTCTGATTAAGAAGTGCTCCATTCGATTCTTCACGCACACGCAACATCAGTCAAGGCGAAAATCAAAACCATTCTATGGCAACTGGACCGGGTCATATAGGCTACGATGTTTTTGACAAGTTCATTAAATTGTCATTATTATTAGAGGAAATTATGGGGGCATTTTTTGCCCCTCTCCTAGTGATATCGGGGGCAAAATTATATTTCTTAGGGGCATTTTTGCACTTTGCCCTCGTGTATTTCCGACGCTGTCCTGACGTCAGTGGGGAGTTCATTCCACCACTGTGGGGCCAGGACAGAACACAGCTGTGACCGGGTCGATCGGCCGCAGGGACCTCTGAGCAACGGGGCGACCGATCGCCCCGAGGCAGCAGAGCGAAGTGGTCGGGCGGGGGGGTAGGGCTTGACCATGGCCTGGAGATAGGAAGGAGCTGTTCCTTTCACTGCCCTGTAGGCTAGCACCAGAGTCTTAAACTGGATGAGAGCTCTTACAGGGAGCCAGTGTAGAGAACGGAGAAGGGAAGTTGTGTGGGAGAACTTGGGGTGATTGAACACCAGATGAGCTGCAGCTTTCTGGACAAGCTCCAGAGGTCTGATGGCCGGGGCTCCGGGGGTCACACCCAGGTTCCCTGCAGTCCGAGTTGGCGTCACCACGGTATCATCAATGGTGATGGTCAGGTCTCGGTGCGGGCAACCCTTCCCCGGGAGGAACAGTAGCTCGGTTTTGTCCAGGTTGAGCTTGAGGTGGTGTGTTATCATCCACTTCGAGATGTCAGCCAAGCATGCAGCGATGCGTGCCTCCACTTGAGTGTCACCGGAGGAAATGACAAGACCAGCTGGGTGTCATTGGCATAACAATGGTAAGAGAAGTCATGCGAGCGAATAACAGAACCCAGAGATGTTGTGTAGAGCGAGAAGAGAAGGGGGCCCAGGACTGAACCCCCCGTAATCAGCATGCGTGGTTCCGACACGGCCCCCCTCCATATCACATGGTAGGATCGACCTGTCAGGTAGGATGCAAACAGGGAGAGTGCAGAGCCTGAGATGCCCATCCCCTCGAGGGTGGAGAGGAGGATCTGGTGGTTCACCGTGTCAAACGCCGCAGACAGGTCCCTGAGAATCAGGACAGAGGAGAGAGAGAGTTTGCTCTCGCTGCATGAAGCGACTCCGTCACCGCAAGGAGGGCTGTCTCTGTCGAGTGACCCACTATAAACCCAGACTGGTGGGGGTCCAAGAGGCTGTTCTGGTGGAGATAGCAAGACAGTTGGTTAAAGACAGCACGTTCAAGTGTTTTGGAAAGAAAGGGTAGAAGAGAAACCGGTCTGAAGTTCTTGACATCAGAGGGGTCAAGTGACTCTGACAGTCCTGAAAGCCGTGGGAAAGCATCCTGAAACAAGAGATGTGTTTGAGGTGGGTGAGGAAAGGAAGGAGTTCAGTCGCAATAGACTGAAGAAGAGGGGAGGGGATCAGGTCAAGGAAGCATGTGGTGGGGCGGTTAGATGTAACAAGGTTGAGGACCTTGTTAGGGGAGAGGGGGGCAAGATAGGGTAAGATGGGGCATGGAGAGGGGAGGGAGAGCTGAGGGGGAAGATCTGGAGAGGGTGGACAGGGAGAGGATTGACAGGGACCGGGGGGCTGAGAGAAGGAGGATCTGATATCGTTTACCTTCTTGTCAAAGAAGTTGGCGAAATCATCATGGAGAAGGGAGGAAGTAGGAGGAGGGGGTGGGTGGGGGGATAGGAGAGAGAAGGATTCAGGGTCAGGGAGGGCAGAGGTAGCGGAAGAGGAAAGATCAGCGGGGAGAGGGAGTGGAGATGACTACGGGTAGAAACCATGTGGGTAGGTGGAGGAAGTACGGGGGGAGAGGGAGTAGGACATGAAATAGTGGTCAGAGAGCTGGAGGGGAGTGACAGAGAGGTTAGCAGTAGAACAGTGTCTAGTGAAGATAAGATCCAGCTGGTTGCCGGCCTTGTGGGTAGGAGGAGATGAGGAGCGGTAAAGGTGAAAGGAGAGGAAGAAAAGAAGAGGTTCTAACTCATCAGTCTGGATGTTGAAGTCGCCGAGCAGGATGAGTGCTGAGCCATCATCATGGAAGTGCGAGACTAATGTGTCAAGCTCCTCCAGGAACTCACCAAGAGGGCCTGGTGGGCGATACACAACAGCAATAGTGAGCTTGACTGGATAAGTGACAGCAACAGCATGAAATTCGAAAGAGGACAGGGAGAACTGTGGAACAGAGACAAGAGAGTAACAGATGTGTGTAGATGTAACAACGTGTGTTGATGTGTGTAGATGTAACAACGTGTGTTGATGTGTGTAGATGTAACAACGTGTGTTGATGTGTGTAGATGTAACAGATGTGTGTAGATGTAACAGATGTGTTTGGTTGTGTGTAGATGTAACGGATGTGTTTGGTTGTGTAGATGTAACGGATGTGTGTAGATGTAACAGATGTGTGTTGTGTCTCTGTAGGAGCGAGGAACATCTACCACCAGCTGCTGATGAACAGTCTGCTCATGGACTTCAGATACAAGAAGATCTTTGCTATCCAGTTCGCCAAGGTAACACACTAATACACAAAAACAGGAACAAACTAACACACAGGAACACACAGACACAACTGATCAGCTGTTTGTGTTGAAGACCGTTTGAACTTACAATCTTTTTTGGATGGGCCGGAAATAAATAAAATAAAGAACATTATATAATATCAGTAATAATAAAACGGTAATACACACATTAATCCTACATCCTCCAAAGCTGCTACTAACAACACTCAACTATGATAATAAAGTCTCCTGGCAGTGAAACAGTCACATGATCTGAAGCACCTCGTCTGTTTCTAAACATTGTTTATACATCTGAGACCTGAGGTCTGAGGACAGGTATCTACTGGTTATCTGGTTTAACTAACCCTGACCCTGGTTATCTGGTTTAACTAACAACCAGATCCTCGCAACCGTCCTACTGGTTATCTGGTTTAACTAACCCTAACTCTGGTTTACCTAACCCTGACCCTGGTTATCTGGTGTAACTAACCCTGACCCTGGTTATCTGGTGTAACTAACCCTGACCCTGGTTATCTGGTTTAACTAACAACCAGATCCTCTAAACCAGCGGTGGGCAAACTTTTTGGCTCGGGGGCCACATTGAGTTTTAAAATTTGACAGACGGGCCGGGCCAGTAGCAGATGGATGGAGAGTGTTTGTGTGAATTAATATAAATTACAAGTAAAAGACATGACCTAAAAAGTACAGAAAACTTACATTTCATTTCAGTGGGAACAGTGCTGTTGGTCACCCTTTTTTGCCAGTGCATCAAAGTTTGGTGTCAGTTTGGTTGTGGCAATTCTCAGGACAGATCTGAGGTGTTTATCAGTTAACTGGGATCTGTGACGTTATTTGTTGATCTTCATCACGCTGAACGTCTGCTCACACACGTAGGTAGAGCCAAACACCACCAGCATCCTCTGTGCCATCCTCCTGATGTTTGGAAACTTAACTTCGTTTAGTGAAGCATAAAACTCAGTTTAAGGGAATTGAACTTCGTTTTAAAACAAAAACGATCTCTGTCCACACGGCGTTTCAGCATTGTTAAGGTTAGGGTTAGGGTTCTACTGATTAATCCTCGTTAATAGATTATCACAGTGAAGTGGTGTTTCTACTGATTAATCCTTGTTAATGGAACATCACAGTGAAGTGGTGTTTCTACGGATTAATCCTCGTTAATAGAACATCACAGTGAAGTGGTGTTTCTGCGGATTAATCCTCGTTAATAGAACATCACAGTGAAGTGGTGTTTCTACGGATTAATCCTCGTTAATAGAACATCACAGTGAAGTGGTGTTTCTACGGATTAATCCTCGTTAATAGATTATCACCAGTGTAGCTCTAAAGCAGTAGCGACCTCTGTCGCCCTCTAGAACTACAGACGCCTCCAGACAGATTTTATGGAGGACGACCACGAGCGAGTGGTGTCAGTGACCTCACTGTCTGTTCAGCTCTTCACCGTCCCGACCATGGTGAGTACTCCTTCTCCTCCTCCTCCTCCACACACCTGTCTCTCTCTCTCTCTCTCTGCCTGTCTCCCCCTCCCTGCTGGTAGAAGTATGAACGCCTTCAGAGCGACTACGTGACGGACGACCACGACCGTGAGTTCTCCATCACTGACCTGTCAGTGCAAATGTTCACCGTCCCGTCGCTGGTGAGTTCAGTGAGAAGTAGAAGTTCCTGTTCCTCGTGTGCATAAAGTGAACAAAGAAGCTTCTTTTAACAAATCCTTCCCTTTTTTTTTTTTTTTTTTTTTTTTAAACAGTGTTTTGTTTTAATTTATTCATTTTAATCATCCTGTTGCATGATAATCAGATATGATTCATTCAGGCTGTTGAAATTAAATCTGTGTGTTTTTTAAGGCCCGGATGCTGATGGTGGAGGAAGACCTGATGACGACCATCATCAGGACTTTTGTAGACCACCTCCGCCACCGAGACCTGCAGGGATGCTTCCAGTTTGACCGCTACACCGCCCAACAGGCCTTCAAGTTCGGACGAGTCCAGAGCCTCATCGGAGACCTCAAGTTAGGATCACTTATACCCCAGTTATATACCAGTATATATACCAGTTTACATACCAGTTATGCACTAATTAATACACCAGTAATATACCAGTTACTATACCAGTTACTATACCAGTTCATACACCAGTTCATAAACCAGTTCATAAACCAGTTAAACCATTGTACACCAGTTGTATCCCATTATAGACCAGTTATACACCAGTTGTATCCCATTATGAACCAGTTATACACCAGTTATATCCCATTATAAACCAGTTATACACCAGTTGTATCCCATTATACATCAGTTTTATCCCATTATAAACCAGTTATACACCAGTTGTATCCCATTATAAACCAGTTATACACCAGTTGTATCCATTATAGACCAGTTATACACCAGTTGTATCCCATTATAGACCAGTTATACACCAGTTGTGTCCCATTATAGACCAGTTATACACCAGTTGTATCCCATTATAGACCAGTTATACACCAGTTGTATCTCATTATAGACCAGTTATACACCAGTTGTATCCCATTATAGACCAGTTGTATCCCATTATAGACCAGTTGTACACCAGTTGTATCCCATTATACACCAGTTATACACCAGTTGTATCCCATTATACACCAGTTATACACCAGTTGTATCCCATTATACACCAGTTGTATCCCATTATACACCAGCTATACACCAGTTGTATCCCATTATACACCAGTTATATACCAGTTGTATCCCATTATATACCAGTTGTATCCCATTATACACCAGTTGTATCCCATTATACACCAGTTATACACCAGTTGTATCCCATTATACACCAGTTCCCTCTTCACATGTCTACAGGTACGTCCTCATCAGTCGACCTTCTGAGTGGAGCGATCAGCTCAGACTGAAGTTTCAAGAAGGTCTGGATGCTTTTCTGGAGCTGCTCAAGTGTATGCAGGTAACCTACCTGTCTGTCTGGACCTGTCTGTCTGAACCTGTCTATATGTCTGTCTGAACCCGTCTCTCTTGGTCTCTGACCATGTCTGTCTGTCTCAGGGTATGGACCCGGTGGTGAGACAGGTGGGGCAGCACATAGAGATGGAGCCTGAGTGGGAGGCAGCGTTTACTCTGCAGATGAAACTGACTCACATCATCTCCATGATCCAGGAGTGGTGCTCCACTGATGTGAGACTGTACTACCACTAGATACATATACTGCATACTACTACATATTGTGTAATTGTGCGTATTTCACATAAGTGAAAAAACAGTCATATATAAATATGACTGTTTTTTATATATAGGAGCGCGTGCTGATCGAGGCCTACAGGAAGTGTCTGAGCGCGCTCAGTCACTGTCACAGTGGCCTTCCAGACGGGGAGCAGCCAATCAGCTTGAGTGTGGCGGGTCACTGTGTGGAGACGTTCAGGTACCAGGTGTCTCAGGACAAAGTGTCCATACACCTCCCAGTCTGCAGACTGCTGGCAGGTAAACACACTGTAACACACACAGAAACACACACTGTCTCACACACACTTGGGCGACCGAGGCTCACTGGGTAGAGAGAGTAACCGCAAGGTCGGCAGTTCGATCCTTGGCTGCTCCGTGTCATGTGTCGAAGTATCCCTGAGCAAGACACTGAACCCCTAACTGCTCCCCGGGCGCCTGTCATGGGCAGCCCACTGCTCCCTATATACAGGGATGGGTCAAATGCAGAGACAAATTTCCCCTTCCGGGATCAATATAGTATAATAAAATAAAAAATAATAATACACAGAAACACACACATGTAACACACACTGTCTCACACACACAGAAACACATACTGTCACACACACATGTAACACACACTGTCTCACACACAGAAACACATACTGTCACACACTGTCTCACACACACAGAAACACATACTGTCACACACACATGTAACACACACTGTCTCACACACACAGAAACACATCGTGTCACACACACATGTAACACACACTATCTCACACACAGAAACGCATCCTGTCACACACACTGTCTCACACACACAAACACATACTGTCACACACACAGAAACACATACTGTAACACACACTGTAACACACGTAACACACACTGTAGCACATGTAACACACACTGTAACACACACATGTCTTTGATCTTTTCCTCAGGTCTTCATGTTCTTCTCAGTAGAACAGAAGTTGCGTCTCGTTTCCCTGAACAACTTCCTCTGGTCAGTAACCAGTCTGTCTGAACCTCTTAAGCTCGACGCCCCCAAATTTGGGGGCTCTCGGGCTCAGCACCCCTGAAAATATTGTTCGGAAAATAGCCTTATTCTTCGGTAATAATGTGGATTTGTACAATTGTTTTACCGGATTAAACAGCAACGTATGGGCAACACTATCATATAAGTCACTTTTTACACACTCCAAACACAACTATAGACTACTAATATAAGCATCTAGAAAATGTGGCATAAACTCACGAAATCCTGGGCAAAAATCACCGTTATGTGTACTGCAAATCAATATTTGCACCTGGAAGCTAGCGGCTACCGAGCTAAGCAATGCATTTTTTATTAGTATTAGCATTCGTCGCCGAACGCATAAATACCTTCGGTTTTTCTCTCTGTGGAACCAGTACAAAGCTGTGAGTGGACAATGGTCCCATGGCACTGCCCTTCGCCAAAAAAAATCGTTGGTTTTTGGTCCCGTTTTATGAAAAATGAGTAGAATAACGTCAAAGATTATCCGGTACAAAGCTAGAATCATTGTTGGCAACTGTATCCTGTTTACTGCCGAGCTGTTTCCAGTATAAGAGCGATCAATTCATGATGGGGCGAGTGGTCAGACTTCCTGCGAACGGAAATTTATGCTCGGGGAGATGCGGCACTTCTTGCAACTTTACTCGCTGAATAATCTGTCAATCAACACCCGCTTCGAAGCCAGCATTCCTGAGACTCTGACGCGTCGAAGGCGGGCTCATTGACTGAAATCGACCGATGATAGGCTGAGATACAGCCCCATACACACACAGGAACTGAGAACATCCTATGGATGACAGCCAGAAACAGGCTCTGAGAGCACCCTTGCTGTCAAAATGATTTCTAACGGCTGTATTTGGATGTATTGAATAATATGAGTGATAAAAAAAGTGAAATATATAGTTATATAGTATATAAAAGTACAATGTAAGAGCTGCAACAGCTGGTTCGAAAATGATGACCTCGCGGGACCTCTCTGTACTAAAGCCTCTTATTCTTCACTTTATCCCAGCCAACCTTTATTCAACAACTACTGATCGGTTGTGCTATGATTTGGGAGAGTTTTTTGTCAGCCAGCTGCATTATTTCAAAAACCTAATATCAATAAAAGTGCTTCTTTTTCAGGCGAACCTGATTATTTTCAATTTGAGCTGTATAATATCTTCATGCACTATATTAACCAGCAACATATACACAATATTTATCCATCTGAATAAATCTCACAAGTGTTATCTGATTATAGCATCAAAAATTATTAAAATAGACCTTGTAGTTACAGAGCTGTGGTCTCCTTAGTATGGGTATGCCATTTTCGAGCAGAGGCCTACAAATAGGGCTCGAGCTTAAGAGGTTTTAACCCGTCTGTTTGTGATCAGTAACCCGTCTGTCTGTACAGTAAAAACTTAAGCTGACCTGATAGAAACATGATTCAGAATATAATGTAATTCATGTTTTTTTTATCAAATCTAACAGCTGGCTCTTTATTTATTTATTCATTTAGTTATAATATCTCAGCTGAAAGCTTCTCATGTTCAGTTGTAAATAATTAAAGCTCATTAGAGCCCGGCTGGATCAGATCAACACATCACAGTTTGTGTGTGTGTGTGTGTGTGTGTGTGTGTGTGTGTGTGTGTGTTCAGGGGGAACTCAGCCCACCCCTCCTGATCGAACTCCCCCTCCGCTGTCTGGTGCTCTGTGCCCAGGTGCATGCTGGGATGTGGAGGAGGAACGGCTTCTCCCTGATCAACCAGGTTAGTCGATAGCGCCTGAGGTATCAGTTTATATCACGCAGGAGCAGACGTCCCATAATACACATCCAGCATGTCATATTTATCCTTAATACTACTAATAAGAATATGATCATAATAATATTAAAATATGAATTATTACAAACCAGGTACGACTCGTCACAGTGGACATCTGCGTCCTTTTTCAATTAAATCTATTTATTTATCACTAAACATATTATTATAGAACATAAACTAATACAATGTATCTATGTGTAAAGTGTTTTTTTATCTATTTCATTTAAAGCCTTTGATGTTCTTTCTGCTCTTCATGATTTATGAATGAAGTTGTCTTTGTGTGTTTCAGATTTATTATTATCACAACGTCAAGTGCAGAGTGGAGATGTTTGACAAGGACATCGTCATGCTGCAGGTAGAAACACATTCTACTCTGCTTGGCTGGACAATTACAGAAAAATAATATCTCTATTTGTTATGTGTATTTTCTGTCTGTTCTTTTACAGGCGGGGGCGTCCATGATGGATCCAAACCACTTCCTGATGATCGTTCTGAGTCGATTCGAACTCTTTCACATTTTCAGCTCCGCAGACTGCAGGAAGAGATACAGAGAGGCTAACAAGGTCAGTACTGACACTACTGACTCTATAACCGACTGTAGGTAGAGATACAGACACTAGCGGGGTCAGTACTGACACTACTGACTGTCTGTCTCTGACAGGATGTGGTCCAGCAGAACAACACTCTGATCGAGGAGATGCTCCACCTCATCATCATGGTCGTCGGTGAGTCAACTTCATTTACAATCTTAATCTAAAGGATTCATGTGTAACTTTACTGTCTTAAAATGTCAAAAGACGACTGGACATATAATATGTTTTGAGTTGTGTACCTGTGTACGGTGGCCCTGAGGACACAAACGTCTCTTGTGGTTTTGGTTACCATGGCGATATGTTAAACAGGTAGAAGAGGTCAGCATATCTGTCCCCTTTAGATGAGCTGTGATCAATCAGATTAATTGTGTGTGTGTGTGTGTGTGTGTGTACAGGTGAGCAGTACGTGTCAGCTGATAAATTGTGTGTGTGTGTACAGGTGAGCGGTACGTGTCAGGTGTCGGCCAGGTGGAGCTCTTTGATGAGGTCAAAAGAGAAATCATCCACCAGCTGTCAATCAGACCGATGGCTCACAGCGAGCTGGTGAAGGCTCTGCCAGAGAATGTGAGACACCTACCTACCTGTCCGTCTGTTTACCTGTCCTTCTGTTTACCTGTCCGTCTGTTTGTCTGTCCGTCCGTTTGTCTGTTTACTTGTCCGTCTGTTTACCTGTCCTTCTGTTTACCTGTCCTTCTGTCCTTCTGTCCGTCTGTTTGCCTGTCCTTCTGTTTGCCTGTCCTTCTGTTTGCCTGTCCTTCTGTTTGCCTGTCCTTCTGTTTGCCTGTCCTTCTGTTTGCCTGTCCTTCTGTTTACACGTCCTTCTGATTACACGTCCTTCTGATTACACGTCCTTCTGATTACCCGCCTGTTTACCTACAAACATTTCATGTGTCTTTTTTCTCTTCAGGGGAACAAGGAGACGGGTCTAGAAAGAGTCATCGACAGCGTCGCTTCATTCAAGTCAGTTTCATCAACACCACCACGTTAAACACAAATCCACCTTAACAACCATCATTACATCTTAAATACTAGTAGATCTAATATAGATCTCTAATATAGATTTATAGTAAATTCTACTATAGATACTATAGATTCTACTATAGATCTATAGTAGATCTATAGTAGATTCTACTATAGATCTAATATAGATCCACTGTGTCAACAGGAAACCAGGTGTGACTGGTCGAGGTCTCTATGAACTCCGTCCTGAGTGGAACAAACACTTCAACCTTTACTTTCATCACTACAGCAGAGCCGACCAGTCCAAGGTACACTGATCAGGTTATTGATCAGGTGATTGATCGGGTCACTGATCAATAACTTGATCAGGTGATTGATGTCATGGTAACAGTGTGTGATGTGTTGCAGGCTGAGGAGGCTCAGAGGAAGCTGAGGAGACAGAACGGAGAGGACACAGGTAAACACACCTGTCTGTCTCATAGTTACTGTGCACCTGTGTGATGATGTTTCATTGTGTGTGTGTGTGTGTGTGTGTGTGTGTGTGTGCACTCCGCCCCCCCCCCCCCCCCCCCTCCTCTCTGTCCTCTGTTTAGCAGCCTGGTGAACCTGCTTCAGTGTGACGTGCTGCTGGCTGTAGAGGGCGCTGTGCTGCAGTGGGCTGTGGAGCCCAGTGGGGGGGGCTGGACCGAGTCCATGCTGCAGAGGGTGAGACACATAGGGGGGTGTACTGTCCATATTAATATGTAAACACTGTAGAGGGTGAGACACATAGGGGGGTGTACTGTCCATAATAATATGTAAACACT